TCATCAAATCGAATCAAATTTAATCCCTACCAAACCACTTGCCTATGATGACCTAGCTAATTAAATCATTGAATCATTTGACATGGTTAGTAGGGTCATGTGTTATACATTAATGCTCTTTATTTTTTATCCCAATTTTTATCTCATTTTTATTATTAATGAAAATAATTCTCATTAATCACACTTTTTTATATGATGAATATATACTATTATAGAATGTACCCAATATTATCTACAAATTTCTACATTTTCTAGAATTTTATGTATTTTATTATTTAATAATAAACATCATGTGTTGATCCATTTGACATGGATAGTTGAACTACTAACCCACCACTTGGATGGAAAAACCATTTTTCTTTTTTGGTTGATTGTAAATCATGTATTACATTTTCATTATCAATAAAAGTAATTCTTATTTTCACATTTATTTTTGCACGTGGCAGTATCAAATGATCATGATGATAATAATCAACAACCAAATGACCTTACTAGTTAAATGGTTAACCTATTTAATCAGGAAAATGGACTATGGTTAAGACATTAATTCATTTTTTTCTTTGTATTTGAGCCATTTCTATCTTTACTAACAATAATTCTTATTTTTTCAAACATATTTTTGTTTAATATGAAGAATATATAATATTAATGTATGTTCAATTTTTTTATAAAATTTATAAAAAAATCTATATTTTTATTTTTTATTATTTAACTTATGAGATAATAAAAATTATTTATTTACCAAGAGGAAATGCAATTCCAATATATTTTTTAAACATTGGTTTTTAATATTGTGATCAAGTAAATTATTTATGTATATAGTATTTATATATAATATATATGTTATTTATTATTTATTTATAAATATGTTATTTATATTGCATTTTTGTAAACTTTTTATATGATGGAAATAGTTGAAAAATACTTATATTTTTTGTTTTTTATTTCAATTGTTATATTTTCTTTTTCTTCTAATAATTTAATATTAAAAAAAATTAAATTAGAAGGTATTAGATTCATATATCCGACATCTTGATCGGATTTAGATTCAAATCAATATTTATGAGACCCGATCGAATCTTTGGATAAGATCAAATTTGAATATACCTTGATTCAAATCTGATCTAATTAGTTTACATCTCTACCAAACCACTTGCCTATGATGACCTATCTAATTAAATTATTGAACCATTTGACATGGTTAGCCAGGTCGTGTGTTAGACATTAATGCTCTTTATTTTTTATCCTAATTTTTATCCCATTTCTATTATTAATGTAAATAATTCTCATTAATTATACTTTTTTATATGATGAATATATAATATTATAGAATGTACCCAAATTTATCGACAAATTTCTACATTTTCTATAATTTTATGTATTTTATTATTTAATAATAACATCCATTTGACATTGACAGTTTAACCACTAACCCACCACTTGGATTGAAAAACCATTATGCTTTTTTCGGTTGATTTTAAATCATGTATTCCATTTTCATCATCGATAAAAGTATTTCTTATTTTCACATTTATTTTTGTTTAATATGGTGAATATATAACAATAGAATTATATCAAAATGCTTTATATATACAAAGCTTATATTTTTCATAGATTGACCCATTTGACCTGTAATGTTAGATCATTAACCTACCTACCATTTAGATATGGAAATGGTTTCATTTTCAAAGTGGTTTTAAATTTTGCATTTCATTTATATCATTGATAAAATAATTATTATTTGTCATACTTATTTTTGTTTATATTATTAGTATATAATATTATGGAGGTGCCCAAAATTGTTTCGTATTTTTTGTACTATTCTATTTTAAAAAAATTATTTTTAATTATACATTATGGGTTAACCTATTTGACCTGAAAGGTTGAACCACTAACTCACCCCCTAGATAGGAAGATGGTTTAATTTCCCATCGGTTTTAAGTTGTACATTTGATATCCATCATTAATAAAATTATGTCTATTTTATCATAGTTATTTTATAATATGACAAATATATAATAATAGAAATGTGCCCAATTTTTTTCAAAATTTCTTTTTTTTTCTATATTTTAAATTGTATATTTGATGTCCATCATTAATAAAATTGTCTATTTTATCATAGTTATTTTTTAATATGAAAAATATATAATAATAGAAATGTGTCCATTTTTTTTCAAATTTCTTTGTTTATATTTTTTTGTATTTTTTATATTTCTAAATTTGTATTATTTATTTATGACATCATGAAATTATCCATTTGACCCAAATGGTTGAAATACTTACCCACGACCTATATGGAAAATATGATTTCATTTTTAGGTTTATTTTAAAAATATAAAATTTTATTCTATTAATAATTATTGTATATGGATTTATTAGTGAAATTTAATGATGATAAACAAAAATATTTTTTTATATTTCTAATTTTATATTATTTATTTATAACAACATGATATTATCCATTTGACCTATTGGGAACATCTCAGCACTTCTATGCTTTATTTCATGGGGAGATGTTCCCAATGCAAGGCTACGCAGGTTGTTGGAACGGGCCTGGCACTGACTGAATCCGGGTGTTTCATACTTATTTGCTGGGAAGATATTCCAAGGCTGTTGGAACGGTGTGAAGCCGAACAATTTCAAAACCAGTTGATTTTGAGTTTTGTTTTGTATGTAGAAACAAACAACAACGAGAAAAACAATTGACGTGGTAAAGTGCCCCTTAATTATCGGCTTACCGCCTTTACTTCTAGTGTCCGCTTTACAGGGTTAACAGAGAAGGAAAGCGCTAAAACTCCGTTTTGGAGTTGGTGATTGGTCACAGTGGCGATGACCATTTCGACGGAGATCAAGAATAGTACGTAAACATTGGGGTTTGTTATGAGGTTGAGGTGGGTGGAGGACTATAAAAGGTGGGTCATGTGCAACTTTAGCTTTCGTCTTCTGCAGACGGAACGGAAAAAAGGTTAATATCTTATAGTTATCATGCAAATGGAGGAGGCCTAAGAGAGTGCAAAGGAAGAAAGAGAGCGATGAGCGGTCAAGTCATGTCGAGCTTTCAGTAGAGAACCTTGTAAAAAGCTCTTCTTATTCAGAGAGAGACAGCTCTCTTCTTCACAGTTTCGAGTGCTAGTTCCAGTTCCTAACCATGGCTGGCAACAAGAACATTTCTCTTGAAGAAATCAAGAATGAGAACGTTGATCTTGTAAGAATGATTCCTTTCTCTTTTCAGAAAATCTAAGTTTTCAGTTGTATTAGAAACTAACAAAATTTAATTTTATGATGATTATATTGTATTGTATTCTATGTGTAGGAGCGGATCCCTGTCGAGGAAGTATTTGAGCAGCTAAAATGTACAAGACAGGGTCTGACCACGGAGGAAGGGGAGCAGAGGCTCCAAATCTTTGGTCCCAACAAACTGGAAGAGAAAAAGGAGAGCAAGATTTTAAAGTTTTTGGGATTTATGTGGAATCCTCTTTCTTGGGTCATGGAAATTGCTGCTCTTATGGCCATTGGATTGGCCAATGGAGGGGTCTCTCTCTCTCTCTCTCTCTCAAATACACCCACTTGTTTAGTTTTAATTACTAAGAAAATTATGTGGAATGAACACAGGGAGAGCCTCCAGATTACCAAGACTTTGTTGGTATTGTTGTATTGCTTATCATCAACTCCACAATCAGCTTCATCGAAGAAAACAATGCTGGAAATGCAGCTGCTGCTCTCATGGCAGGTCTTGCCCCCAAGACCAGGGTAGGTTCCTTATTTTATTTTCTTTTTTAATTCTGGGAGGTGGGTTTCAGTACTGCACCATAGCAACCTTTTGAAGTGCAACGTACTAACAAAGTGGGCGTTGCTCCCATCATAATGAACGAAGGTACTTAGGGATGGTAAATGGACTGAGCAAGAAGCAGCAATCCTGGTACCTGGTGATGTGATAAGCATCAAACTTGGAGATATTGTCCCAGCAGATGCTCGCCTTTTGGAGGGAGACCCACTCAAGATCGACCAATCTGCCCTTACTGGCGAATCCTTACCTGTCACGAAGAATCCTGGCGATGAAGTTTTCTCTGGCTCTACTTGCAAGCAAGGTGAGATCGAGGCTGTTGTTATTGCCACTGGAGTCCACACCTTCTTCGGCAAGGCTGCTCATCTTGTTGACAGCACCAACCAAGTTGGTCACTTCCAGAAGGTCTGTCTTCTATATTAGTATATATAATCTTCAACTGATCACAGTCTCCTGCATTTATTATTAATTCCCAGCATACGTGATGTTGATGGGTCGTTTGATGTTTGATCAGGTCTTGACAGCCATTGGAAACTTCTGTATTTGCTCGATAGCAGTGGGGATGTTGGTGGAGATAATCGTGATGTATCCAATTCAGCACAGGAAATACAGAGATGGAATTGATAACTTGTTGGTGCTACTCATTGGAGGGATTCCAATCGCCATGCCGACTGTGTTGTCAGTGACTATGGCAATTGGGTCACACCGGCTTTCTCAGCAGGGTGCCATTACAAAGAGGATGACTGCTATTGAGGAGATGGCTGGGATGGATGTGCTTTGCAGTGACAAGACAGGCACCCTCACCCTCAACAAGCTTACAGTTGACAAGAGCATGATTGAGGTGGGTGGGTGTTTAATGTGATTTCCCTTAAGAATAAATGTAAGATTTGATCCATGATAGGTTGTTGATTGAGATCGCATGAATTGTTTAAACACAGGTATTTGTCAAGGACATGGACAGGGACACTGTGGTCTTGATTGCTGCCAGAGCTTCCAGAGTTGAGAATCAGGATGCTATTGACGCTTCAATAGTAGGAATGTTGGCTGACCCCAAGGAGGTATGCACTATGCACAAACAATTTCAGAATTGACAACCAGACTGAAATGAAGACACTAACTCTCTATGTCTCTTCTTGTAGGCAAGAGCAGGGATTACAGAGGTGCACTTCCTGCCCTTTAACCCTGTAGAGAAGCGCACTGCCATAACCTACATTGATTCCGATGGCCACTGGCATCGTGCTAGCAAGGGTGCACCAGAACAGGTACCTCTCTCTCTCTCTGTGTCTCTCTCTCTCCCCCAACAAATATAGTACAGCTAACCATAAAATTTAATGCTACAAGATTATTGATCTCTGCAAAATGAGCAATGAAGCCAAGAGCAAAGTCCACGCTATTATCGACAAATTTGCAGACCGGGGTCTTCGTTCCTTGGGAGTTGCCCGACAGGTGAAAGAGGAAAAACTTTGCTTAGTTTGATGTATTTACAGAGTGTGTAATATTGAATTGGGTTTGATGGTGTTTGCTTTTTGGACAGACGGTACCAGAGAAAAACAAGGAAAGTGCAGGAGGACCATGGCAATTTGTCGGGCTGTTGCCTCTCTTTGACCCTCCAAGGCATGATAGTGCAGAGACCATTCGCCGAGCCCTTAATCTCGGAGTCAATGTCAAAATGATCACTGGTGATCAGCTTGCCATTGGCAAAGAGACTGGGCGTAGGCTTGGCATGGGTACCAACATGTATCCCTCTTCCTCTCTTCTGGGCCAGTGCAAGGATGAGTCCATTGCATCGATCCCTGTTGATGAGCTCATTGAAAAGGCTGATGGATTTGCCGGTGTTTTCCCTGGTAATTAAACCTATTTTCGGTTTCCGGCTTAACTCATTCTAGTAATATATACTAATGGTGTGTTAAATGCAGAGCACAAATATGAAATTGTAAAGAAACTGCAAGAGAGGAAGCATATTTGTGGAATGACTGGAGATGGTGTGAATGATGCGCCGGCCTTGAAGAGGGCAGACATAGGTATTGCTGTGGCAGATGCAACTGATGCAGCCAGGAGTGCTTCAGACATAGTATTGACAGAGCCTGGACTGAGTGTGATTATAAGTGCTGTTTTGACCAGCAGAGCCATCTTCCAAAGAATGAAGAACTACACCATCTATGCAGTGTCCATCACAATCCGTATTGTGCTTGGATTCATGCTCATTGCACTTATCTGGAAGTTTGATTTCTCTCCATTCATGGTCCTCATCATTGCCATTCTCAACGATGGGACCATTATGACCATCTCCAAGGATAGAGTCAAACCATCTCCTGTGCCTGATTCATGGAAGCTCAAGGAAATCTTTGCCACCGGTATTATTCTGGGCACCTACCTCGCTGTGATGACAGTCATCTTTTTCTGGGCTGCGCATGACACCGACTTCTTCTCAGTAAGAAAATGCACCCTCCATTACTTAAACAAATCCATTCATTAATCTTGCATTGTCAGTGCTAAATCATGGAACATGGGCAGGATCGCTTTGGTGTGAGATCCATCAGGAAAAACGATGAAGAGCTTACTGCAGCTCTCTACCTTCAAGTGAGTATTGTGAGCCAGGCACTCATCTTTGTCACCCGTTCAAGGAGCTGGTCTTTTGTTGAACGCCCAGGTCTTATGCTAGTCTTTGCCTTCCTCATCGCTCAGTTGGTGAGTGTCTACTACTGTGTGGGTTGTTTCTGGTTCAAACTCAATTTCAGCATTCTTTGGCGTTAGTAACTACTACCATCAGCTAAATCTGGCATCAATAATTGATTAACTTACTCAGGTGGCCACACTCATTGCTGTCTATGCCAAGTGGCATTTTGCTCGAATCAGTGGCATTGGCTGGGGATGGGCTGGAGTCATCTGGATTTTCAGTGTTGTTTTCTACTTCCCTCTTGATATTCTCAAGTTCTTAATCCGCTATGGATTGAGCGGCAAGGCTTGGGATAACCTGCTTCAGAACAAGGTACATACCCCTTTTTTGTTATTCGATCATTTCCATCAAAATAACTGCTATTCCACTGAAATATATATCTGCAATTTTGATTCTGTCATTTAATTCTTTTTCTTTTTCTCCAGACTGCTTTCACAACAAAGAAGGATTATGGGAAAGGAGAGAGAGAGGCACAATGGGCTTTGGCTCAACGTACTTTGCACGGCCTTCAACCACCAGAGACATCATCGCTCTTCAATGACAAAAGCAGCTACAGAGAGCTGTCTGAGATCGCTGAGCAAGCTAAGAGAAGAGCTGAGGTTGCAAGGTATTAATTGAAGTGGATTTCGGGTTCTATTGCTCAAATATACATATTTTCATTTAAGTATTTATACATACAATACAACAACTTATTAACAAAATCAAATGTTGTATCAGGCTAAGGGAGCTGCACACTCTGAAGGGACATGTCGAGTCGGTGGTGAAGCTCAAGGGACTTGACATCGAGACCATTCAACAGCACTATACTGTCTGAAAGAGAGACAAGTACGGCATGAATTTATGACGTGTGTAGCCAAGGCATTTGAAGACAATAAAGGCTGATGTTGCTTTTTGTTTTTTTATTCCTTCCCTCTTCCTTTTCAATTTTCCTTTTTGTTTTGACTGTGGTAAAGCAGGGAAGAGGAGGGAAGTATTTGGGAATATTTGGGGAAATAATACCATGGACATCAGCATTCTCACATGATCTATTGTTGGAAACTTGGAATTAAGGTGTCTTGTTGCCAACCAGAAGAGCTGTAATGGAAGAATGGGAATATTTTAATATGAAATATTATTTCATATTCTATGGTCATTTTCAATCTGTTTCTAGCTAGATTTCACTTTTTTTTTATTAAATTTTGAATAAGATTCATGTATATGGGTGATTGTTAGAATAGCTTGTTATGGCTTAAAGCTTTGGATGGTGTGGTATCATGTATGTGAAGGTTATAGCCATCTCTGTTGGCATAAGATAAGACTCACATCAGCATCACCCATCTTAATTAGTTACACTTTTACTATAAGCATCACCCATCTGATGACTCTCAATTTTGTGCTACTCTATAAATACTCTTGTCAATAGAATTCGATGAAGCATGATTGAAAACTTCACCCTATTGTCTTGTGTCTTGTAACTTGGTATCAAATGGTGAAATTAAATGTCCCCAACCTCGTCCGTGGAATCTTTAAAATAATTCCACCAATACTCCCTCCTCATCACTTAGACAAGCATAGTTTTCTTCTTTGGAAGGCTCAATAAGAACCCTTGTTATTATAGGACAGTTCTCGTTTTGGATGCCCATACACGGTACCTTCAAGTGCCTGTCTCAGTTTGTTGGTGATAATGAACACCTCACAAAGAAGGCACTCAATTCTTGATAAATTTAATAACAGATCAGGTTGAAAATAATCTCATTGATGCGTTTGGTGAGTTGTAGTTGTATTTATATCAACTTGTATATACTTGAGATACAATTTTAAAATTTGTACAATAAAATGGTTACGGTTTGGTTGACCGATCGAATGAGTATGAGAGGATAAGAATTATCCTAACACCCCCTTCAAACTGAGCGTGGAGATGCAACATTAAGTTTGCCACGTAGCCAGGTAAAGCATTGCTGACTTAGGCCATGTTTGGTTCAAATCTCATTCTTTTTCATTCTTACTTGAGATGAAATTTTAAAATGCACAAGAATGAGTAAAAATAGGCAGAATGAGAAAATATTGCTATGAGTCAAATACTTTTTTTCTAGAAATGTATTCTTTTCAGACTGACAAGTGTTCTATATCGTTTCATTTTCATTCTTCAAAAAAAAAAAATGTGCCAGTATTCAGAAACAGATTCTAAATCTCCAAAACTATTGGCATAAATGTTTATCGGTGGATGGCCAATAATCGATCAAAATTTCAATTGTAATCCGCTAGTAAACATCTATATGGCAGCAGTTTTGTAGGCAGGATTTACTCGAAGACAAGATGCACTACAAGAAATTTCCTATTAGCTGGCGATTTGTCTCTAGTGGTCGCGTACAATGCCACCAAATCCCAACAAAATTGAACAACAAATTTCTCTCTCATGTTTTGATTAGGGGCCGGCAGTCAAATTTTAACAAACCATATAACGTAACCTTATGATGTGTCCCGGCGGTTATTATTTGAAAAAAAATAAGAAAACCCAATCGACCAATGAAACAGGAGGGTCCCGTCAAAACGGCTATGTCGCACCAAACGAGGGATTTGTTAAACATAATCGACGAATATCTCTCACTGAAGATCTTCCTTTCCTTAAATCTCGATTGCCATAGCCTCTTTCTTCCTCCATTTAACTTATCGGTTGAGAAGTGTGAGAAGCCATGCATAGAGTTCGATTTCAAGAGAACTGTGGATGTGAGAGTGGAGATTTCAAGAGAACTGTGGATTGGTTGTGAATATCTGCTCAATTCGAGAGAAGGATTTGAAGCCAAGAACTTGTGAATAAAGATTTGAAGATTTGAAACTAGAGGGTTTGAGTTGAAGCCAGAAGATTCGTTTCTGGTACTCCATTCCTGCTTGTGCATATGATATTCATTCTTTCCTTTATGATTTTATATTTTTTTATTACGATCTCTTTGTTTGTCTTCACCTCTCTTTCCCTTCATATGCGGGGATTTCATCCATCGGCCTCTGGTTGCTACCCTAATCTTTTGTGAAGCCCTAAATAGAAGAGACCTATTGGATTCTTGAAGCATAAACACGGCAGCAGGTCAAGCGAAATTCAGACGTAGATATGCCAAAGCATAAAGAAATCATTTGTGGAATAAATAATATCTGCCTTCATGTTCAAATATTTGGAGATGGAGAATTTAGGTTTCTTAAATAGTTTTTTTATTTAACATTTTATTGAGGTTTCTTCTTTACTGGTTATCCACTCTTTTCTAGACTCAGATAATTCCCTTGCTATCATCATCTTGTAAAAGAAGTCCTATTTGGTGGGGAAACTATAGGTGAAAACACAATGAAAATTGAAAGTACTGGCAATAATTTTTCTCTACTTCACTACAAAAACTAGATAAAAATTTTCTCTACTTCGCTAATGGGTACTGTCACTACTATCAGCTCATAGGGTAGTCTTGTACCACTTTTTCCCTATTAACGGTAGTCTTTTTGTATGACTAGCAGTTGCTTGGTGCAGTATGGACCATGGAAAACACCTACACTGACAAGCATGAGGAAGCAGGTTTCAGTCGACCCCTCCCAATACCTTAGATAGTTAGGACCAATATTGTGTATTGACCTTTTCCTATATATTGTGGGATCACTTGCCAAAAATCTTCAAGTAAGAAGCCTATTAATTAATAGAAATAGCATTGTGTTAGTACTGCAGGGAAACTACTCTGTGCCTTAGCTTATGTTATGTTACACTTTGTTTTATTTCCCAAATCTTCTATTCTATAAGAAGCCAATTATTAACTAATAGAATACAATTATGACAGTAGTGTAGGAAAACCATTTATGCCTCAGAATATGTTCTGCAATATTTTGTTGAAAGTTGAAACATCAAACATATAATAAGCTAATAACTTAAAACCTCCAAGACATTAAAAGATAACCACATGGAATGCTTGGCTACAATCATAGGCAGTGTACTGCCAATGTGTTAGGTACAATTTAGACACATTTCCAGTACTTTTCACATTTTGCTGAAGTACCGAGGAAGCCTACAGAGTTGTATTAGCATAAGAGCAACAGTGCATGCTGTTTCTTTCAAATAATCTATATCAGATTTACTGTGCAACTGAGAATTGTGCCTTTATCATGTCTATATTTGATACTACATATACCCGTTCAGATTGTGAATGTGGCCTAAGAAATCTCTTCTTGGAAGCACTTTGGTAGAGACATTTCGAACTCATCCACAGAAGAACCAGACACTGCAGCTCTTGGCTAGGGTGCTGTGTTGGTTGGGCATCTCAGCTTCAAAGGCAAATGATCTTGGGTGGCAGTGGTTCAAGGATCCCAAATTGAAATGTCTTGGTTTTAGAGGGATCTTTCCATCAAATACAATACGTAAGTTGCTATTGTATTAGTGTTTCTTGTGTTTGTTATATCTGACAACCAAGTAGTAGAATTTTGGGATCTAGTTTGTTTTTTTGCAACACAGTTGGTCAAGCCTGATAAAGAAGTTTGGAGAAGGGGGTTCCAGAGGGCTTGACCAAGACTCCGAAAGGTACATCCATTTAATGAGTAGGCCACTAGATTCCAACTTTTATCTATATAAATAATGAAAATATTTGTTTTCATTTCACTAATTTATTCCCCCTTCTTTCTGTTCTTTTCATTACACCATTTCCATCAGCGTCAAAAGATATAATTAGGTTTGGGAAGTTTTGATCTTATGTTAATATTTTTGTTTCTCCAATCAGCAAGCAACAACTGTCTGGATTTTGGAAGTAACTTTTATTTTCTTGGAGTTCATATTGTTTCTATTCTTTAGGTGATATTATTCCACTTGAATACAATTACAACCTTGTCGGATTAAATGCAGTCAGCTTTGACAAGGGCTGCTATGTGGGACAAGAGTCTGTTGCTCGTACCCATCACCATGGTGTCATTCTCAAGTGTTTGATTCCTCTAAAATTTTTGATGAAGTAGAAAAGTTACTTCAGTACTTGACAGAAGTTCAACTTATCAATCATGTTTTATAATATTATCATGATCATTTACTTCAGTTTCAGAACTAGAGTAGGTATAGTTGCTCCAAGATCAGAAGTCATTGAGAGTGCATCCAACAAGAAGGTTGGGATTGTGACAACAATTGGATGTCATGGGATGGGTCCATTGAGGCTAGAGGAACCCTTTAAAGGAGCAGGTGCCTTGAGCATCAAAGGGTAGGATGACATGAAAGTTGAAGCTATTAGAGCAAAATGTTGGCTTGCTGAATGGTTTTTCTAAGCATCAAGAGCACCATGCAGTTGCTTAGAGGTTTGATTTTTCAATCAACCTTGGGTCTGACAATCTAAGTCTAAGTCCAGCAATGGAATGCCAGGTGCATCAAGATAATAAAAACTCATGAATTTTTTTCTTATTTTTTGCACTTTTTTTCCAATCAAAACTCCCCCATGAATTTGATAAATAACCACCTTATTAGTTACCACTTTTGTTATACTGGTTGATTGGTTACAAGTTTTTGGTATCATGGTTGAACCCCGCTTGAAATGGATATTTTTGGTTGTTTAGAAAGAATGTGTTCATCTTCTTGAAAACCTGAGAATATTTTAATGATAACCAATAACAGATTATATTTTGAACGATGAAGTTAATGATCTAACATGCAAGGCTTTAAAAGACTAAAGGAGGAGAGACAAGGCAATCGGACTAGAGGGGTCAGACTAAAAGAATTCGAACATTACACACAATAGGAGACCAATAAAACAGTCAGCTAAGGTTGTGTTTCATTTGAAAGAAAAGGTAGGGAAACCTACACAAGATTTGTACAGGTTTTCCTTCCTTTCCCTACCTTCTCCATGAAACCAAACACAACCTAAATTTTAATGAAATGTTGTTAATTTTAACTTTTAATTGATGTATCTTAATCTATAAATTCCATTGACTTTTCAATTCAACTTCACCTTTATAGTTTTACATAGGCATTGCCCATGACATCCCTTGTCTTACCACACCATAATCAGACATGTTAATTTTGAGTCAGGGCAAAAGGATATATACCACAAGGCAAAGTAG